TGCGGCTGCTCCTTCATGACGAACAGAGAGAGCAGGGCTTGCTCCAGCATCCCGGTTGTGTTACTTACTGATAGTTACAGGAATTTAAACGTCAAACCTGGGGGTTTTTGTGTATTTTTGGGTTTTTTTCTTATCTGCAAAGAAAGGAAAAGTCCTAATCAACGCTTTAAATGCACAAAGATGTGACAAGCGTTGTGGCTACCGATGTGTAACCACTGCTATTGACTCACAGCACGTTAGAAAACACTCCTTTTTCTAAAGGACCAAACGGTGACACACAAGAGGCTGGGATGAGGCTGTGCTGTTGGTTTCCAGTTAGGTTTGATCTCCCTTGAAGAGATGATCAGTGAGGAAAGACCAAGCTGTTCTTTAAATTCAAAGAGCACAATGTGGATTATTAGATTGACCCATTTATAGAAACTGGAGTAGTTCCAAATTAATGAAATTGGCATCACTCCTATGAGAGCACTGAGGGAGTATTAACAGGCTACAGGGAAAGCTCTAACAAATCCCTCTGAAGATGCAGAGTCACAGAAAGGTTTGGGTTGGGAGTGACCTGAAAGCTCATCCAGTTCCAACCCCCCTGCCATCAGCAGGGACACCTTCCACTAGACCAGGTTGCTCAACCTGGCCCAGGGAGGACCAGCCACAGCTTCTCTGGGCAACCTGGGCCAGTGTCTCACCACCCTCACAGCAAAGAATTTCTTCCTCACATCTCATCCCAATCTCCCCTCTTCCAGTTTCAAGCCATCACCCCTTGTTCTGCCACTACCTGCCCTTGTAAAAAGTCCCTCCCCAGCCTTCCTGGAGCCCTTTCAGGTACTGGGAGGCCACTAGAAGGTCTCCCCGGAGCCTTCTCTTCTCCAGGCTGAACAGCCCCAACTCTCTCAATTGTCCTTACAGGAGAGGTGCTCCAGCCTCCTGATCATCCTCATGGACCTCTGGACCCACTCCAGCAGGTCCATGTCCTTCTGCTGTTGGTGGCCCCAGAACTGGAGGCAGCACTGCAGGTGGGGTCTCATGAGAGCAGAGCAGAGGGGCAGAATCCCCTCCCTCGACCTGCTGCCCATGCTGCTCTGGGTGCAGCCCTGGATGCAGTTGGCCTTCTGGGCTGCAAGCGCACATTGCTGGCTCCTGTTGAGCTTAAAGCATTAGTTTTGCAGGGACACACTTACAGAGCTCCTCTGTAGCATCTGTGAAAGTAACAAGACTCGCACAGCAGTGGAAACAATCGCCGTGGATGTGCTGCTTCCAACAACAGGCACAATTCACTAGCTGAGGTCCTTCTGGATTGTTGCTTCCATCTCATAAACAAGACTGCAGCTGGAGGCCAACCTTCCTGTTACAGAGATGTGAAAACGAGGAGTTTCCTTTCAGATTTTCATTGCAACCTTAGGACATAAGAGTAGACAGGATAAAAATTACTTTACCATGGGCTGATCTTGTCCCTGCACCTTTTCAGACACTAATTCAACATTATGGGGATACAAAATGGGGGGTGATTATAATTAATTTGAAAGCTCTGTCTCATTATTTTTGTACCAAGGATGAAATGCTAAAGCTCATGATTGCCAGTTATTTATGTTTCTTGTGAGCAACGTGCCTAAATCAAGCTTGCAAGAGAGCTGTGAGTTTGCAGCTCTGGTAACTGAAACCTCCCTGTTCTTCAATCACAAGCACATTATTGAAAGAAAACAAGCTCCAGTGGAAAAGGGGTGAGAGAGAAACAGCAGAAGCTCTTTGTGGAGCTGACATCAGATGACCTAATGTCTGCACTTCTCTTTCTCTCTCTCTGCTTGAGTAAGCTCTAAACAGAGCTGAGACAATTTATACCAATAAAATGGAAATGTTATCATCATTATCTGAAGTATTCGCTTGCACATCTACCAAATAAAGACATTAAAGTGGCATTAACAAGACACTCCCTTCGGAATTAAAAACTTCAATTCCATTCTGGCGCATTTACAGAACGAAGTAATTAATTGCTTGTATTTTGGAAGTTGTTTGCAACTGGGACAAGAATTGATGGTAATGTCCCAATAGTGCTTTTTTTTTTTTCTTCTTTTTTTCCCCAATACACCCTGCAAGCGACCAAAGCTGTGCCTATAAACCTGCAAGATCTGAAAGGTGGAAAAAAATAGCCCAGTATTTGCAAAGCAATGCACTGTAGCCAAGTCTTTCCCAATGCACTGAGATACAACAGGCTGTTGTCAGAAAGAGTTACGAGGTTCCTTCTTTGTCCCCAAGCCTGTCTGAGTTCTGACCATACCTTAACATTTCCCCTGTTGCTCTTTGATAGAAGAAAACAGAATTGTCATGAGGTTCATCCTTGGACCGCACAAAGACAGGTGCCCCTGCTCTCAGGTGGTAAGGACTGCAAGTCCTTTTCTGCATGGGGACTTGATGTGGCATCTGGTGACAGAAGCTCTGCTCTAGTGGATTTTGCTACTCAAAGAATTTCTCAGTGGAAACAATGATGTTTATATAACATTTTGTGTAATGTTTCTAATCTCTGTATTAGAGTATTACAGGTGCAGATGTGTTTTTCAGTACTCTACATATTTTAACACAATTTTCAACCTATTATGGAGGGAGCCATTTCTCTTTTTTATAGGAGGAATAACAGTACCTGTTCAAAGAAGGCATTATTAAAGACCAAAATATTAATGTTCTTTAAACAAAGTGCAGGTCATTTCATGACACTTAATAAACCTACTTGGTCCACAAGGAGTTAATTCTTTCTGGGATTTACCAGTTATCAGGAAGATTTTCTTAAGAAAGTTCCTGGTCTTGACACTCTTTTGCTGTCCCCTCCCTTCTTTGTTCTCTTCCTCCTTTCTCTGATTACAGTTCCAAAAACAACACCCAACCTCCCGAGGTCAATGGTTAATATTCCCGAGTGTTTATATAGTCTCCAGCAGCAGACCTCAGGCCTTTCAGCACTGGGCTAGTTCCAGCACCATGGCTGACTTCTTGCAGATGACCCTAGCCTTCAGGAAATACCTGATCATAGTGTTCGTACCCCTTCTGTTTCTTCCTCTGCCTCTGGCTGTTCCTACCAAGGTAAGAAATTTTTAAATTGAATTTGAGAGCCAAATCTCCAAATCTCTCCTTACAGTTGTTCAAGTGACAGAGCTGAGAAGAACATACAGATTCTTTCTCAGAGACGCTTTCTTCATTTATTGATTGAAGATCTTTTCTGAGCAGACTGCTTTGGCTACTGATAGTGGGGGAATATAAAAGCAGTGATGAACAGATGGATGAACAGATACACCTGTGACTGCATATTCTAGAAGAATGCTCAGTCATGTAAAATTTTGTAACTTTTGCTTTGCATCTGATTTGGCAAAGGACTTTCTGTGCTGAAGCTCATACGTGTGAACCTAAGTTACAATCTAAGACTCTGTTTTAATCCCTCTTCCAATTTTCCAAAAGTATCCATTCCATATCCTCTTCTAATTTTTACCTTCTTGTCATTGCCAGATAGAAAAGGCATTTTTCTTGGTCAGATGGACAAGGCATTCTGATACATAAGGACAAAATAATACACATTTCATTCCTTTTTAAAGCATATTTCTGTAAGAATTTTTCCAAACAATGATTTAAAATTTAAAATGTCAAGTTTTGGAAGACAACTTGCTCAGGATTCCTTCTGAAAAAAATTAACTACAGAAACCTGTAGTAGTGGGGCAGGTATTTCTGAGACATTGATCATTTAAATACAGCACAGTGAGCAGGCAGACTGCCTGTGTTCTGCTGCTTCTTCACTCTGGCTTGTTTCTCTCACTCCTAATCTCTTCATGCAGACAGATCCAATCTCTGGTCTTCAAATCTCTTGTTTCAGTCCCAGCACCATTAAATAGCGAATCCCAATCTACCTCTCCTGTCACTGCTCTCTGGATGTCAAGTCCTAGCTCTTTCCTCTGGTCTCTGCCTGCCTGTCTCCCGATCCCTGCTGACCCCCAGTTCCTAGTCTCCTTCACCAAGCTTCATTCTTCACTCTACGAGCTCTTCCCTGTCTTTTTGTGCAGCCAGTCCCAAAGGTCCTTCCTCCTCATAGCTCTTTTTCTGAATGTTATCAGAGACTTTGAAGCTATGATCAGAGGGCTGCAAGCAAGAATGATAGAGTGGCACTGGCTTGAGGTGAAATGTGGTAACTGATCAGGTGTGTCCTCTTCTTCCCTTGCTATGCAAATAAAATAGCTTAAACTATCACTTAAAAGCTTACTAAGAAAAACAGAAAAAGTATTTTTTTGCTAGTTAACTTCAGTAACTCTTTTGCCTATGGAAAGTTAAGAGATCAGATCAGAAAAGTTCTAGGTAGCCAGGAAGAGAATCTTTTTTTGCTCTGAGGCCATAAATTCAAACTTACTTGCTAGTTGTTGTTACCGTACTGTAAATCCTTGGTATTGCCTGTGGAATGATTTGGCATTCTTGGTTGAGTTCCTTTTTGAAAATTACCCCCTCTGGTTTCCATGTAGTCAGCTACAACACAAAAAATTAAAGGTCCTGGGCTTGTCCCTTTGCAGTCTGTAAGATTTCTTGTGCTAGAGTTGTGCATCACAGTACTGCTAAGCAGGAAAAGCTGCCACCTCGGCATGCAGAGTTGTAAGCAGACAACTTACAGGATGGAATTTCACATTTTTCTGTTCTGTTGAGCTATTAACCTGCCCTATAATGACATAGCACTGGGCACAAAACTATTACAAATGAGAGCAAACAATGCTAAAGATTTTGTCTGAAGACAGAGGAATGTCCTTACAGGCCAACTGACTTTGGGAAAAACCTTATTCCAGCTTTTACTGGGAGCCTGTTCGCAGCAGGCTAGAAGGGAATACTGCTGTGCACATGATATATGTTCCATATGTTGCTAGAGTCTCTCAAAAGGCACCCGTTAGCATCTCTTAATAACAAAAATGGGAGAAAAAAGATCATCAAACTGGGAAATTGCTTCCAGTGCTTGCCAGATGTATAACTGAGGTTCTTATTGCTCTCATTCAAAAATAAGGCTCAAAAAGACATCTTTTTGTCTCTTCACAAATCTCTTTCAGTTTTACTTCTCCAACCCTTCTTCTTTGGTAATTTACCACCTAGATTGCTATCTTCTTCTTTTCTCCAGAGTACTCAGCTCCTCTGTTCATCCTTTCCCTTCACCAGCTCTGTAACTTTCATGCCATGTTCAGAAGTCCTCAGCATGTTTTAAAGCATCACAGGTTTGATCCTGTCAGCCACTATTGCAGCTGCTTGGTTCACTTCACTGTAATCTAGCCATTACAGTTTCCATCTCTTCATTGTTTTCTCAATAAGCATCACTACATTGGTCCAAAGCAGAACTAAATCAATGTTTTCTCAGCAAAAAGAATAACATGAAATAAAGGATCATACTTTCTTCAAATAAACAAGTCAGTCAGTGGAAGCTGAAACTGATCTGTGAGCAGTTTGTCAGTGAACCTCTTGAAGTCTATACTGAGCTAAAAATCCAATGAAAAATAGATAAAAGTATTTACAGTACAAGGAATCCAAATTCTTTGGGGTTCATCTGGGCCATGTCCTGAAACCTGTGGAGAAAAAGGTGGCAAAACCTTGACTGGATCAGTAACTATTTCTGCAATTCAAAGACAGAAATATATAAAAAGAAAATACCACCATCAGCAAAATCAAGAATTCTGATTGTTCAGGGACTGCCAATCCCTTATCATGAAGGGTTCAAAGTCTTCAGTTTGTTTCTTTTCCTAAGTTTCTTGGTTTTCCCCATTGGAGGCCCCAGTCTTTTCCTCACAGTTCCGACAAGGTTGTTGAATAGTTTATCATTTGATTAGGATCTGCACAGGTAGGAGGACAAACGGGAGGGAAAGATAGAACATAACCTTTCCTCAAATCCCTTTATCAGGCAATGAATATAATTATGGGCTGTTGCCTTCTCAAAGCCCGACATGTACAGTCTGTTCTGATCTCATGTGCTCTTTTCCCGTCAGGAGGCCCGATGTGGTTATGTTATCATAGTGATGGCATTGTTTTGGTGCACGGAAGCCTTACCGTTGGCTGTCACAGCTCTATTTCCTGTCCTGCTGTTCCCACTAATGAATATCATGGATTCAACAACAGTAAGAGATCTTACTCTGTATATGTTTGCCTATGTATTTATTGGTCAGCTTCTTTTATTCTGGGATTATTTCCAGGGTGATTTTCAGTGTGTGGTGCAAAAAAAGAAAATTGCACAATTGTTACACCGAGAATTGTCTGTCCTCTTCATGGAACAGAACTTGCATGAGCCCAGAGCGAACTCTGGGTGGAGCTGCTAATCTGAAATCAAAGCAAATTCACTGTTTAGATGCAATCCATAGTTACTCTGTCCTAATGTCTTTGGGACAAGATCCTCCCTCAGAAAATGTCTTCTCTCTTGGCTTATTGTCACTTTTTTCTCTCCCTTGTTCCATGCTACAGGTCTGCCGGGAGTACCTGAAGGACACCAATATGCTTTTCATTGGGGGACTGGTGATGGCTGTTGCTATTGAGAATTGGCACCTACACAAGCGTGTTGCTCTGCGGGTCTTGCTTATCACTGGTGTCAGACCAGCCCTGTGAGTAGCAGTCGTGAAAACGCTGTGGGATAAAGGACTTTATGGCATTAGTTCCTGTCTCAGAGTTACCCGTAGTCTCCTATGTGAATCTGCAAATCATATCCTACAAATGCTCTTCTACAGGCCAAGTGAGTTAGTGTCTGAAGAAACCTTGAAAATGAGGATCCTTTGATGTGTTACAGACCTGGTGTCTCTTCTTTGAACTCCAAACAGCTTTAGGTGGAGAAATAACAACAAGAGAGCCAATACTGAAAAGACAAGGGTGCTGCTAGGCTTGGCCAGAAGCACAGCTTTAGACAATCAGGAAAGGCTACAGCTGAAACACAGAAAACAAACTCTCTAACTGTTCTACTGACTGCAAAGAGAAGAGAAAACATGAGGGTGTTTGTTTTGAAAACAACAAATGTTTACCAGACTAGAACTTTAAGCTATGCAGAGGCTACATAACCCTATTTAATTTGTCTCAGATCATAAGAAGAGGGAATACTGAAGGAAATTACAAAGCAATAGAATAAAAATGCATACAAGATAAAACCCTTTTTATCCACTGTATAATCTACATCTCATCTAAAGAATAATTTTGAGACAAATAACATAGTAATACTGAAACAAGGATTAGAATTTTATATGAGTAAGAGGAGAATCTTAAATGATAGAGGTGGGATAAAATTACAGAAAAAGATATCATCTTCCTTATGGCTTAAACTGATTGCCATTTGGGATCAAGTTCAGTTTGTAATTCTCTTCAAAATATATTATAATACATTAATATGTGTTATTGAGGTGGCCTGCCTTCCTTGGCAGCATACAGAATTAAGCAGGATACTGACTAGACAAACTGTTTGTTCGAAGATACCAGCTCCCACTTTCCTAGTTCTAAGAATGTAAAAGCACAATTGGCTGAAATTTAAAAAAGAAAAAAAACATTTCAAATCTTACTGTGGCATTCACAAAGCAGAGCAGGGTAAGAAGAAGAAGTGCTAGGTGTGCACTGCTAAGCTTTCTCCAAACCCAGCATTTGTAACCAAAGCTTTGTATTAAAAAAAGGGGCATTACAGCACTGAGTTCTGAGCTGCCTTTTTCAAACCTTTCCATTTCAGACTCCTCATGGGTTTCATGATTGTGACTGCCTTCCTGTCCATGTGGATCAGCAATACCGCCACCACTGCCATGATGGTCCCAATAGCACAAGCGGTGTTGGAACAGTTGCACAAGTCTGAAAAGGAGTCTAGCACAGGTGGCCAAGCTTCTGAAAGCATTAACAAAGCCTTTGAACTGCAGGAAGAGGCAACTAAACCAGAGAGCTACAAAGAAAAAGAGGAAAAAGGTGAGCGGGTTATGGGTGTTTTTCTCTTTGGGATAGCGGAGGATGATCTGATGCCTTCTTCACTGTCATTACAGTTGCTAGTAAATTCTAAAAGAATGCACCTAGAGCATCCTGACTGTGTCAGACAGCATTTACGAGCCTCTTCTGTGAACCAGACAAAAGCACAGTAAGATCTACTGACTTGGCTGAAGTTAGAAATAGATTGAAAATATGAAGCGATGAAAACTAACCAACAAAACAACAAAATGTATAAATTCTCCATTAGCTGAAGCCTTTACATGAGGCTTGATATTTCCCTAGGTATTTCTGTTAGTTCTATTATTATCTACTGGGTAACTTTTCAGATAATAGGGAATTTCAGGGGGAAAATTTCTGGCCTATTTCATGCCAGAAGGTTAGGGATTAAAATGATCTTTCTAATCCAAAGGTATGCAATCATGCAACAGTATCTCTTTACCAGCTGTCTTGCCTTCTTCTCATCTTTGAGACAACTCAAGTGTTTCTGAATGTAAATCTCAGTGCCCATAGTCAGGTGCTGGTCCAGAATGAGTTCCTTTCAGTCCAACTCCTCTGACTCTGTGGTACCTCCCTGAATTCTTGCCTCTTTCCCCTCCACATGCAGTTCAGACCTTGCCCTAGTTCACCAAGAAGTGTCAGCAGTGTGTTTGGACTTTATCACATATTTCAACTTCTCTTCTTCTGAAAAACTGCTCTGTATCAAGACGACTGGTGAAAATGGACAGAAGATCAAGGAACTCAAAACGCCAGCCTTAAAATGAGGCAATTTGGCTTCTTCAGCTTGGAGTCCATTGTGTCCCAGCCTTGAAATACTGAATTTTTTTTTTCCCTATCCACTCTAGCTTCTCTAACTCTTTTGTTCCTGTCCTGGGACCTAGGTAATAGCCATGTCCTGACAATTGAGGAAGACAGAAAGAGAAATGAAGATCTGATAGAGGAGAAACACAAGAAATTCTGCAAGGGAATGTCTCTCTGTATTTGTTACTCAGCCAGTATTGGAGGGATTGCAACTCTGACTGGGACAACACCAAATCTGGTACTGCAAGGACAAGTTGATGAGTAAGTCTGGTTGAATTTGGGATCACACACCCACTAAACTGCATCATTCTGCTACAGCTGACTTCCAGCCACAGAGAAGGAAAATAGCAATTCGGTAACTTTGTCAGAAAGTCAGCTCCTCTTCCTTAGTGGGCCCCACAGATCCTCCTTTATTCTGAATCATTCATTACAGAAGAGAGTGTAGAATTTTGGACACTAACAGCCATCTACATTTTACAGGCTCTTTCCTGACAATGGCAATATCATCAACTTTGCTTCTTGGTTCTCCTTTGCCTTCCCCACCATGATCGTGTTACTGGTTTTGACGTGGATTTGGCTGCAGATATTGTACTTGGGCTTTAAGTGAGTACCCTTTACACCCCGTAGTACAGCTGACAGGCCTGTTAGCAAGTACATTACATGTTGTAACACAAGTGGTGTTTTTCTTGATGAACCTATGCTTGAAAGTCAGACAGCAAGTGACATAGTCCTCACATACAACAGACTAGCAGAACAGCATACTAAGGACCTGTTAAAAATACTTCAGCTTTTTCTCTGAGGAACCTGATCAAATCCCAGTTAAATATACTCTGTAGATGAAAATAGGAAGCTATAACTGCATATAACCTGCTCTGCAGCATTGCTTTCATGTCCTGAAAGATTGTTGTGCTTCAAACCAGGAAACTGATTTCTACATGTAGCTGGTAAATACCCTTGTGACGAGAGTTGCTACAGACCTAGAGGATTAATAGTGTGCCAGTTCCCAGTGCTCATCACCCCATACAACCAGCTTGCGTTACCTACCTGTTTAATACTCAGCCTATCACTTTTGCATTATCCTCAGCTTCCTTTCTTTTAAATGGAAAGAGCCCTGTAATACACAACATGGTACTTTTGTCTTCAAATTCCTCTTCTGAAATTCTCCTTTTCTGTTATTTTAAAAAGCTTAGCAACTGCTTACTTCCTGGTGATCATATAGCCTTGTCAATCCACTAACATTTACATTATTTCCCCATGTGTCCAGATAGCAGACATGTTTATATTTAGATCATGAGCTTTTAGAGGTCAGAACCTTCTTTCTGATCATCTTGGCAGTACACAGTCCAATGTAGTTACTATCCAACACCTATGGCTGCTGATGCTATGATAATTTTATACATAACTTGTATATGCATCTATAAATACTTATATCTAAAAGACAATGTGACTGAGTATAAAATTCGGATTCTCAACTCTGAGGAAATCTGGCAAGTGTCTCTTTCTTGTCCGTTTTTTTCTAGTTTTCGGAAGAATTTTGGTTGTGCTGCAAATGCTTCTGCAAAGGCTAAGGAGCAGCAGGCCTACAGCATTATCAAGGAAGAAAGCAAGAAATTGGGCCCAATGAAATTTGCAGAAATAGCAGTTTTGACCCTCTTCATACTACTGGTGCTGCTCTGGTTTACAAGAGACCCTGGTTTCATACCAGGTTGGGCAACAGTTCTTTTCAACAAAAATGATACAAGGTATCACCACTTTTCCTCCTCACTTTGGATAAAAATGAAGTAGGGTAAATTTCATTAGGGTGAAAACACAGCTAGACTGAATTTCTGACTGATCTATTGCAGCTATGTCACCGATGCTACAGTTGCCATCTTCATTTCAGTTTTGTTGTTCATCATCCCTTCTGACATTTCTAACAATGCCAGAGACAAACAACCAAGAGGTAAGTTTACTGAAGGCATCAAAAATCAACTGTCAGAACAGGTACACGGGAAGTTTTACATTTTAGATTTACAAAGGAAATTTCAAACATGACACAAGATTTCAAACTGCTCTTCCTGCAGCGCTACAGCTGTATGCTTTAGGCTAGGCAAGGCATGTAACCCATAAAAGTTCTGTGTTTCTTGTAATTTAAGTAGGAAGCTCTTACCTGAGCAGTGTCCCAGACACTGATATTCACACTATCCTGAAGCTGGAGTCTTCAGGAGAGAATAGAGGACTTAACAGAAACACAGAGTTCTGCAGATATACTGCCTTTTAACTAATTCTTACCTTTATTCTACTATCCCTTATGGAGCAACCACAGATCATTCATTAGTATTTTTGCAAGTCAAGTTTTAAAATCTTTGTTGATGAGGCTCTCATCATTTGCATTAGGAGATAATTCCACTGTGTACTTGATTTTGCTGGCAGAAGTCTTTCCTGATGTTCTGACTAAACTAATCTCCCACCAAGACATCCTCCTTTCTTTGAAGGATGTAATATGGCTTACAAAATCTTTTTGGATTTTAGGCAACAAGTCAAAGATCCAAGCACCTCCAGCTCTCTTGGACTGGAAAGTAGTTCACCAGAAAATGCCATGGAACATCGTGTTTCTGCTGGGAGGTGGCTTTGCCTTAGCCAAAGGGAGTGAGGTATCATCCCTCTGCTTACCTGGTATTTGTGTCTTCCTAGGTGTTTTCCATCTTGCTTTTCACATGTGCTCTCCCAGAACGCAAGAGGGCATGCTGGTAGCACCAAAAGTGCATTTCCTCAGCTAGTGGCAGCAGGACAAACTTCACCATCCTTAGGAGTCCTGTGATTAGAACAAATCTTTTTGCCTGTGCACTTGGGGTTGTACTACCAATCAAGGCAGCATGATTAACTGTGTTTCTAGAAAAGTGGATGATGAAGAAACTATCCCAATACATTAAAGGTTCTCTTAAATAAAACTTAATTGTTGTAGCAAGCATGAGGAGATAATATGCCCAGGATGGGTCTCCAAACTATTTCAAATAAACTACGTACAGAAATACGATTTAAATTAAACTACTAGAAGACAAATGTAGAGCTAGCTAGAGAACCTTCAGGAGCAGATAAAAACATCTGACTGTCAAACTGAAGGACGTACTGATGTACTTCTGCAGGTATCTGCCAGGAGTCCAGTGCTACAAATTATTTTTCAGTAATGACTTAGATGATGGAACAGACAATACCTTTATTAAATCTATAGACAATAAACAAATTGTAGAAAGCTTCAAGTGCCTGGAAATACTAGTTTAGAATTCAAAGATCACAATGACGTGTACAAGTGTTTCTAGAAAACAAGGCTGCAACTCAGCATGGGAAAGAGGAAGAAATAACTAAGTATCACAAATGCAAGATGTGGAAATGACTGGATAAGTTTTAAAGCTGCTCATACACCTTATTCTAGTCAATATTTTTGTATTGCTACTGAGAAAAAAGCAAACAACTGGAAGCTATATGTGGGACAATCATACATAAGATATGTAAAATATAATCCTTCCACTCAGGACCGGTAAATCCTGAGGTACAGTAATGTATTCAGTGTTGGGTATCAGTCTGCAACAACATGTGGGCTATATGAAGAAAGTTTAGAGAAAGGTAGTAAGAATGATTGGATGTCTGGGCAATGGGTTTGGAAAAGGAAAGATTGAAGAAATGACATTAATTTATTCTAGAATAAATCATCAAATACATGGCCTGAACAGAGAAATAGTTATTTGCTATAAATAACATTGTAAATGTAGTATCATCTTCTTTCAAATTCTTTGCAAGGGAAAGCATGTTTATTTTTGTTTAACCTACTGAATTATTGTCTCTATGAGCATTGCCTCTTACACGTTTTTCTACAGAAAGCAGTTTGTATGAGAACTCCTATTAGAAGGGAAGGTAGAATTGGTATGAGAAATGTAATTGGACTGTGAAGTGGCTATTTCTCCTCCAGCCTACTATCCTGACAGACCTCTTTCCTCTGTTACAGGAATCTGGTCTGTCTGCATGGTTAGGTAGCAAACTGACTCCTCTGCAGCAGATCCCTCACCCAGCTATTGCTCTCCTGTTGTGTCTCCTTATTGCCACTTTCACTGAGTGCACCAGCAATGTGGCCACCACTACCCTCTTTCTCCCTATTCTGGCTTCATTGGTAAGTTCCAGCATTTCAAAATACTCTTATTAGAACAGCTTTCAACTCTTCTCCAAGCTTATATGTGCTCAATTATAAAAACTGACTGACTGACCTAGGCAAGCACTCGTTCGTGTATCTGATCTGGAATACAAGACTTAAAATACACATATATGTATGTATATGTGTGCACTCACACACACTGTGCTTAGTTCAACCTTTCTAAAAATCATTGCTGGTGAAAAGTAAAGGGATTAAATTCATTGGCATATTAGACTTTGCCTTCTGGCCTAAACAACCTCATGAGGTCACTGCCAGCTGTACTTGTTTTTTCCTATTTGTTCTGCACAGAGACAGCAGCAGCATTTGCTTCCCTGCAACATTCCATTACTGTATTTCACTCCGACCACCAGCCTTCCAGAAGTCTCTGAGGGTGATAGCATTAGTCAAGCTCTATGACCTAATTCAGACTTTTGCATTTCCACAGGAGATTCCTGTTGATGGGGTAGATGTCGTTCTGCAGTGTGAAAAGCTGGTTCCAGATAGAAACTGGAATAAGCTCCACCAAAATCTTTTTTGAATAGACTTCAGCTAACCCCTAAACTGATCCACTCACCTTCAGAGTTTGGGCTACCTTGCTTCCCCTGATAATTTAGTTTTTTTCTTAACCAGGTTGAAGCCACTCTACATTTTTTTTCCTGGTTTTAGAGTTGAATACAATCATAATTATTAATTTATACTGCAGCAGTGATCAGATTCCACAGTCAAGAACACAAAGCACTGACCACAAAATCAATTCTTGCATTTGCTGCATAAAGACATTGGCTAAAAGTTTCTAAAGCAGAACCAAAATATGAGTGGCTGCAGTGTTTAGGAGAGAACAAGGTTTCTGACACGGACAAATACAATCAGTCTTCTGCCAAAAGATTTCTATGCATTTTTGTATATCAAAACCATCATCTTTGCTCTCCCTGCTTCCATAGGCTGAAGCAATCTGCCTCAATCCACTCTATGTCATGCTGCCCTGTACACTTTCTGCATCATTGGCGTTCATGCTCCCAGTGGCCACTCCTCCCAATGCCATTGTCTTCTCATATGGACAACTCAAAGTTATAGATATGGTGAGCAAAATCACATTATTTTCAAAATTTTCATCACTAGTTTTGATCTTTCTTTTTTCTAATTTTAGTTCTTCTTGAAAGTGTGTTACAAAACTCAATGTACTCAGCTAAAGTCAAATGGAAAGAAGAACATACATGTGTGAATTAATAAAGGGTCACACTGACTCTAATATACAGCCTTATAAAGATGCTATGAAGCTTTTGAAAAACACCCAAGGCTTCTTGTAGATGTTCCAACAAGAGCTTGCTATCAATGAGAAATGTCAATGTCTGTTCCAAAAGCTCAAATGTAGATATTAGGGGTGTCAAAGAGCCCTGTCATCTGGCCAGTCCTTCTGCAGGGACCAGGGGAAAGCCTAGCACATCTCACTAGGCTGCCCTGATACCCTTTCTCACTATGTTAAGGAAAGACGGACAAGGATGTCATGTCGCTTGATAACATTTCCAATTTATTATTGATCCAAGAAGAAATCCAAAGAGACAGATGCCAGGTCAGAAGAAAAAGTGTTAAGTAAGTGGATTAAAAGGATTCAGGACTTCCGCTTTAAGAGATTTATCCAATGGAAACTCATTTTCCCCTAATACAAATTATACTTGTGAAGAAAACCAGCTTAAATGTAGTTTGATGGAGTTCTGATGGAGGTGTGAAAAAAGGCCAAAGAGAAAATCATAGAATCATAGAATGGTTTGGGTTGGAAGGGACCTTAAAGATCATCTAGTTCCAATCCCCCTGCCATCAGCAGGGACACCTTCCACTAGACCAGGTTGCTCAAAGCCTCATCCAGCCTGGCCTTCAACACTTCCAGGGAGGAGCATCCACAACTTCCTTGGGCAACCTGTTCCAGTGTCTGACCACCCTCACAGTGAAAATCTAACCATACAAACAATCCTAATCAGCAAGGAAGGAAAAAAGTACTTGGTTCAACTAATAACCCTTCTCTTTTATAATTCTAGGCCAAAGCTGGGTGTGTACTCAACATCCTAGGAGTTCTGACAATAACTCTAGCCATCAACACCTGGGCTTCATCTTTGTTCCAACTGCAAACTTTTCCATCTTGGGCAAATAGGACAGGTACCTGCCCGTAGTACAGAGAGGGAAACGAACCAACAACTCTTTCTGTTAGAACTGCAATGAGAGCAAGACTACCATCTGCGCAAGTTTTGCTGAGGCAGTGGTTAAGAGACAGGCCTGTTCTGTGGAAAAGGACAAGCCACCTACAAGCAAAATCATTCAGTTGATAACAGCAATAAAATTGCCTAACAGTGCTGTTTAGCAGGCGATTTTGTTACCCCAGCAGTAAGACAAGGTAACCTTTGGCTTTTCAACTGTTCCAGGTATCTTTAGATTTTCTGCTTCAGCAGGGGTAGATTTTCCCCAAGTTCTAGCTACATCACTTTTCAAACTCCACCTGCAAAGCCTGAAATCTGCTGTGAGAAAGAAGAGGGAGGTGTATATATAAATGGAAAGTGAGAGACTCTATGTACCTGATTTCATGCCTATATCTGTGTATTGTCAAAGCTAATATGAATATTCACCTGTGTATGTGTATACAGACCTCTGTGTATATGTTCAAAATGTACATGATTTTTATATACTCCTATGGGCATTCACAGCAATGCATGTGTTGTATGATTACAGACAAATCACATACTGTCAGCCCATTCTATTACTTTGAAATATATTTATTTGCAGTCCACTTGTTATGAATGTAAAAGACCATTTTTTCCCAGAATATATGTCCCATTGTTATTTATGTAAGATTACAGCCTGCAAGGTCATGATAAGAATAATAATATTCTCTTGAGAGGGGAAGAATCCCTGTGTTCTAAAATATATATGATTGAATTAAAGATTTATTTTTTAATGTACTCTCCGTGTTATGGAAATTTTTCTGACTATATATCACTGCTTCTAGTTCTGTCTTCTATGTATCAACTGTTTGTTTGTGTGCTTCCTTAGAATATCTTGAAATAATCTGAGAAGTTAGCATAATTGATTTTCTCTTATCGTTAAAGTATTAATTACTTTATTATTAAGAGTCCAATTTTCTTGGACTCTAAAAACGAAGATCTTTTCCAAAGCCCCTAATGTAGTTAAATATTTAATCCCTATTCTGCTGGAACTGACTTTCAGTAGCACATAGACTCCTAATGACCAAACTCACAAACATACTGGAATATCCAAAGACACTTTGCCAAATCAAGCACTTAGTACCATAAATGAGGTTGGGTTCAGACAGATCAGTTATACAATACGTGCCCCTGAACTTTGTGCCACGTGCTTTGTTCTGTTGTTGCCTGCCTAAGTTTTGCACAGTCTATTGCATTTCTGAAATACAACTTGAACCGTACTGGTTCAACGAGAGTGAACACGAGTGAATTTCACTCTAAAATAGGATGCATGTTCTTCAAAATATTCCTTCACCCTAATTATTAGGAGATAAGGACAAAGCACAGTGTACATTTGATTTATAAAACGTTAGAATTCACTGACCTGCAGTGGTTTCTTTCCAGTTCCAATTGTCAAGACAATTCTGGTATCTGCTGGTCACTGATTCCCTTTGCACTGACAGCTTCCTTGGCCTGACAAGCACAGTTGCTCTGGAAAATCATTGTCCCGGAAAGAACAGTCTGGTATTAACCCTTCAGTGGCTTTGAAACATAGTGTTTTGATTTGATATGTGACAGGGATCCAATAGAATATCGACAGCACAAGAAGGAAGGACATTTATTCTCTTTTGCTAATGAGCTCCTGGGTAATTGATTTCAATCACATAATGACTTGCTCAGGTCACTGCTAAACCACTCAATTTTTTTCCCTTTGCATTTACCTCTCTCAAATAACATCCAAATCTGTCTAAATATTTTCATTACCCTGCTTGCCCTGTGTCTGAGTACCTAAAAAAAATGGCAAACTCAAGCAGATGATTTGCTGTAAACCTCTCCCTTTTTTGCTCTTTGTCTACAGCATCAGGGCAGTGTGCACAGCTTTTGTTTGCTTTTTATTTTCTTTGAAATACTTGCACGTAGTTTACATGTCCTTCTAAATTACTGCCTAGCTAAGCAGGAAATGTTGAATTCTTATAACATTTCCCATCAGCCTCTCCTTCCAGCCCTTTAAAACTGTGTTATGGTTCTTTGAAGTCTTTTCTATTAGTCTACATTATTCAGAGGCTGTGGTGTGCATAAGTACATGCAGGAGCACAGGTGCAATCTTTATGGCAATCTCGAGAAGAAAGAAGAGAGACATCAAGTAGCAGAGAGTGTCATAGGGCCAATGCAATAACGCTGGGTGTTCCATGCTTATTAGCATGTATGAGTACATAAAGGTTCGAGACTTACCAGAAAATGGCTGTAGCGAAAGTTACTCAAGGGGTATCCAAATGCCCAGCTTCCAGAAGAAGACAGGTGAAAAGCTGTAATCTGTAGGCAGAAAAGTTAACAATAATACCAGGACATAAAGAGAAAGGAAAAATTCATTAGTAGTTTCCACCTTGAAGTGATGGCAATAGCAAGTACGCACTGGGCAGTTTCTTGCCTTGGGTGTGTCTGAGTGCAGGACTAGTTGAGTTACAGCTAAATATAGTGTGCTTGTGCAAAAACCAGTAACACTATTAAAAATGTTCATAATTTTCTAAGCAAAGCAGGTAGAAAGTGTTTCTAAGCCCCATTATTACCCAGATCACTTTTGAAGGGTGGTTCCCCATTATGTTTCCAGATATTGCCCTCAAGGAGTGGCTCTATTTCCCATTGTGTGATCAAATTTCACAATCTTCTGTGAAACTGCCAGCTCAGCACCTGTTGTAGTTAGGTGTGATTTCTAATGCAGCTCTTCATTTCGGAGTTGACACTAAGTTTGTTTTACATGAGAGTTGTAAGTGATAAATTTGCTAATGTGAAGGGGATGTCTGCCTTCTTGCCTGCCTTCTCTAAAAAGCAAGTGCTCTACAAAACCACAAAATACAGGTTTCCCACAGTACATGCCAGTGAGTAAGTGGGTGACTCGCAGTCACCTCCTCCATTTTCCCTGGAGTTATGGTGCTGTCTTGCCTTGCCTTGCCCAGACACACGCACACACACACGGGCACACACGAGTTCTACAGGTACATACATGTACACCTAAGAGAATATGAAGGATTTATCCTGGTAAACACATACATTTCTACAACACATGACCACACCAGAAAACCAGATTAATTGTAAGCAGACTAATTCAGCAATGAAAATAGCTTACAGTTGGGAAAGGTACTTCATCATAAACATCTTGACAGAGATTTGCAAAGTGGCATGGAAGTGATGCAAGGGTCACTTCATCAAGCACTGAAATCATAAACAGACTTAACAGAACACATTGCAATTTTAAAGGCAAAACAGGATAAAGCCAGCACATCTTTTTAGTCCTCAAGTGCTTTTGGAGAAACCAAAAATTCACTCCCAGTCACTTAAAAGCTATTAAAATGAACTTCAAGGAATCCTTGTTGTGTAGCACTGAAATCATGAAATATATCTAGATCTTAAAATTTAATTCCTAAGCTTTCATTAAAAAAAGAGCAACCCAAAAAAAAACCAAACAAAAAACAACAAACAAAAAAAACCTACTTTGAAGGAAGCCTTATCATATAATGGACATAAAAGAATTTACAAAAATATGAAAAATATTTCCAGAAAACAAAATACAAACCAATAGAAACATGAAGGTCCTGTGTTTTATCCAACAGTCATCATCATGTATGTAAATAGGAACCTTTCTCCAGAAGCTGTAAGAGCAGTTCCACTCTTGTCCCCGGAGGTAATTCCTCCCTCAGATAACTATGGCATGCTGGTGGTAGTGTGCATCCTTGTCCAAAACTCCAACTCTCTCCATTTTAGCATAATTGTTCTAGGAATAAAACTCTTTGCTCTTAATTAACACGTTGGTTTAAGTGTTTGCAAAGGCAGAAAGAGAGTTTAGAATTTTTGCAAGGATAAATAGCCAAATAAAGAATAGAAAATAGAAATACAAGGACTTGGGAAATACGTAACTTTAAATCATCACAGAATTTCACAACCTTCTTTTTTTTTTCCAACACGGAACCAATAAAACTATTTACAACTTGATTCACTGAACTTTATGATTTGAGTTAGTAATGACCAAGGTGCCAATGTCTGGAAATGAAGTGGTTTGAATATATTAATCACCTGGTGTCCAAAATAACAACTGTTTAATAGAACTTAATCACTACTGTCAATGCTGTGTATTTTCTCCTATTAAAGAAACATTTAATATTATTTATCCTTTAATCATACTAACAGACTGAAAACGTCCAATTGTTATTCAGGAAGTAGAGATGCTCTTGCAATTTGCCATCTAGTGGCTGCAGACACTGTACCAGGGCATGCTCAAAGCTCCCAAACCCAGGCCGAGCAGCTAGTCTGGTGTTAATCCTCCTCAGAAAACACCCTTCAATAGTTAAGGAGAAAGTAATGGAACAAGAATACTTTTCAAAGGCAGTGCATGACAGCATAGTTGCAAAATTAGAAGTCTATTAACCAACCCAGTTAAACAAAAATTGATTGAAATTGTCAAAAGGAAAAAAAAAAGCAAATCACAGACTGACTTGAAAATGGAGAAGGGACAAAATGGTTAATTCAGGGGTTAAACTCATATATTGTTACTCATGAGTTAGAACAGACCAGATGCAACTGCTTCAAGGCTTAGACCTGCTCTGCGTAAGATATCTTCATTAAGCATTAGTCGTGACTACTTATAGATGGTACTGTATTTGAAATTCTAACATTAAGATGATCTGTTAAAACATTTAAACTTTACTCTGCTTCAAGTTTATACTATCCAGCCAACTTCAGATAAGCCATAAGCTTCTCTTGCCAACCTTGCAGCATTACAGGAATTTCCTCATTTCCCCTGATCCCTGTCCAGTCTATAAGAAGCAGAACAATTTCAAATTTTCCCAATACCAGCCACAGGGACTAAGGGCTTTCCATTCTTTGGAAGGGAACAGAAAGCCCTGGGACACCAAATTTCATTAATTCTGCTGATGATAGAGCTTCTCCTTTCTTTATAGAAAGCAAAAGGAAAAGCGGTCAGA